AAGTGAAAAATTAAAAAGACTATTATTTCAGTAGATTTCTTTCTTTGTATATGTTTGTGTCTAACATACCAAAAAATTATCTTCTGGTTTTTGAAATATTTATTTTACTTCCTTGCATTTTTGCTTTATTGTGGACTTTATTCGTAGCACTACATGTTTGATTTTAATTAATTATTATTGTGCCATATGTATGGGTTTGTAATGAATTGAATGCGCAAGTCCGATGAAAAGTGAATAAAATTTATTATTATCACAAATAAAACAAAATACTTAAATTTCCACAGATATGCATACAATATTGCAATATCTCACAGTAGTTATTTTTTAAACAACTCAAACGTTCAACAGAACCTAATTCAAAGCATAGAGAGCTAATCCAATTTCATCTCGAATTCACGACAGTAAACAACAACTGAACCGAGAGGTTTTCCTTCTGCTTTTTATGAGCTTTTTAAATGCACGAGAAACTTCTTGTATTTTCTTGATATTAAAAGATGTTGCCACTCACTGCAGAAATCTTGAGCGCTTAAAGCAGTGTTTTTCATTCTCTGTTCAAATCCCACTCCTGACACCAAAAAGTGTTGCATGCATATGGGTTCGTAGTGAATTGAATGCACAAGTCCGATGAAAAGTGAATAAAGCTAATTATTATCACAACAAATAAAACAAAATGCTTAAATTTCCACAGATATGCATACAATATTGCAGTATCTCACAGAAGTTACCTTTTAAACTACTCAAATGTTCAACAGAACGTAATTCAAAACATAGAAAGCAATCCAATTTCACCACGAATTCGTGACTGTATATAACAACAGTTTTCTAAACAACTCGTAAAACTACTGAATTGAGAGGTTTTCTCCTGCTTTTTATAAGCTTTTTAAATGCACGAAAAACTTCTCCAATTTTCTCGGTATTAAAAGTGTATAATTACGAGATATCTATTTATTTAATTCGTGTGCTCCTGTATTTTTAATTTTTCCATCATAGCTTTCTCTCCAAATAAGTCTCGTGCTGCATTGCATGGGGAAATGAAACAATTTAATAACAATTCTATTAAAAATGGCAAACTAAATAAATCAATATAAAAACTGTAACATTATTATTATTGTGTCTTATTTTCTGTGTGAATATTTGCATATTTTGTGTACTTTCTAATTTTTGTATAATAATGATATAATTGTTTTAATATTTTATGGAAATACATGTTGAAATTGCATACATGTCTATTCAGAAGTATCCCTTTTTTTGCATAAAAATACTTAATTCTCAGAAATTAGTGAAATGAACTGATTTGTTTGAGGTGATTTATACATATCACAATATATAAATATTAACTAAAAAGTCGAATTTATGTGTATATGATGTGAAACTGTTATTAAAAAAGTAAAATTTAAATACTGTATGACTGTGAAATTTCAAAGAAAAGAGAATACCTGAGGAACAGATGCATTTATGTTAATAAGAAGTATGATGTTTTCAGTAATGTAGGTAATTCAAATTTGAGAAACCATATTTGCTGAAATCTCTATATGGAGAATTTCACAACGTAGCATCTCTATCAAGATTTTTTGCTCTATAAGTTGACTGTAGCATTAAACTCAAGAGATTTGGTGGACAGTTTTTCACTCATTTACCACAGTGATATTTTTTTAAAAGCATCTATTTTCCCTCACACTGTAAGCAAGTAAGTATTAGAAAAAGGAAAGTAAATGCTATCAGCACAATGAAGGAAGCTGGTTGCCTTCAATTTGCCGGGGAGTTTCTGAATGGGCCAGCAACTATTTTATTATTTAATAGTACAGTATCATCCTAATACTAGTTCAGTAAAATATTTAAAACTATTTTGAGCATAATTCGTAAATAAGAAATTCTGATTAAAAGCCAACACAGACTGCACAGAATAAATACACTGAAACATATTAATAGCAAAAATTGAAATTTACGATTTTTCACTCCTTACAGCATCTAGGACAAAAAAAGAACATTAGCTGTAGTGTACAATCATGTACTTAATCTACCTTTTGGCCAGATAAATCTTTAAAACTGCAAACAGACGTAAATTACTCATGAAATATCGAAAATCTTTATGATAATTTCAATAAAATATTCATTTTACACACAGTGTAAGTTAAATGACTCAGAAATACTTCATAAATAGTAATTCCAGGGAAGTAGAGGATTTAATATATATTAATTAAAAGCAAGTATGAAACAAGACTTGTAGTGCCACCCCCCAAAAAAAAATTCTAAAAAAAAAGTTTTGAACAAAATTATTAATGAATGAATAGAATTATTTTAAGTATACTGTTATGTGATTATTAGGTTAAACCAATTGAAAAAATGGGAAAGCAGGAGCATTTTAAAATTCACATTAAAAATTTAATAAAAAAAGTAAAATTAAAAAAATTAACTTGTATTTTGTGATAAATAATATGGTGATAATATTAACTACATGTTTGCAAAATTTAGTTATTCTACATTACCTCTTAAGATGGCTACTAAATAATGCTGATTAAACACAGTTTTAAATGTTATGACACTATTAACATCTCACTGATATACATATTTCATTCACATTGAAAAATTATACACCGAACAGCCACTCTGTTAATAACATGTAGAACTACCTTTAGCCCTCAAAACTGCCAGCACCTGGTGTGGCATTGACTCCAGTAGGTACTGATAAGTAGTCTGAGGTATCTGGTACCAAGCCCTCACCAACTGGTCCTGCAATTCCTGTACATTGTGAGGGGGTAGAGTGGCAGCACAAATTTGGTTTTCCAGGTGGTTTGGTTTTCCTAACCACTTCCTGATGATTCAACTCTTATGACATGATGCATTATCCTGTTGGTAAACACCACCCCCACCGGAAATACTGTTATCATGAATGGGTAAACCTGGTCTGCAACCATGTTCACGTAGTGCACAAATGTCAGGGATTATGGGTCCTAGTGTGATCCATGAAAACATTGCCCACACCATAATACCCCCATCATTGGCCTGTCTTCGTCCAACTGTGCATCCGGGAGCCAGGGTTTTGTTTGGAAATTGGCCATATTAGCTCATGCTCATCGATGTTATGGACCAGAAAACATGATTCGTCAGACCATCCAACTTTCTTCCATTCTTCTAATGTCTATTTCTGATGTTTCTTGGACCATTGCACATGCAGCTTGCAATGACATGCCATCAGTGCAGGGACATGCTTCAGCCTCTGGCTGCATAGGCCCATATGCAGCAATGTATGGCGCACAGTGTGTTGAGAAACAATGTCTGCATTGCCACTGTTGTAGATCTTTGGTCACGGCAAACAATGCGTAGCAATCTCCGCTCTCCTCTGGAATCATTGCACTGTTGACTGGTGACTTGTTTCATCATTCATACACCACCATAAGCTGTTCACTTTCGATATGTGTTTACAACAACTGCACATGAACAGCCCATTAAACGCACCGTTTCTGATATTGAAGTTCCCAGTTGCCGAGCCATAGCGATTTGACCTTAAACAATGTCTGATAAATCGGCTGCTTTTCTCATTATATCACTACTTGCACTATGTTTGGAAAAACAATGCATAGTCGCTTTATATATTCCTACATCAGCCACACACACACACACACACACACAGTGGTTTTGTACTCGGACGAGCCCACTAGTATAAATGGAGGGTGGTCATAATGTAATGACTCTTTAGTGTACGAAAAGTTAAAAAAATCTTACCTTCTTCAACAGAAGGTTTTTATGTGTGTTTAACAACTAATAGGTAAGATGGTCATTTTTAACCTTCATAAAGTACACTATTGTCACTTTACGTTTTAATTTACATTTCTATGTCACTGAAAAGAAACTTCATGAAGAGAACAAACTGGCAATGCAAAGCAATGTCAACAAACTGAAGTGTTATGCCACCAATTTTAAATTATTGTAAATATAATAATCATTTGCTATATAAATGTAGCTCATTTTCAAAATTAAATCCAAATGAAATGAAATAGTTAAAAACAGTAAATTGTGTTTAAACTGTCTTAATAAGTATAATTTAACTACAAAATGTAATTTTAAGTTCAGATGTTCCGAATACCGTAAAAAACATCATTTGTTAATCCGTCGCCTACTCAGCAATGGCATCATCAATCAACAGTTAGGAAAAACAGAAACATCGAGTGATGAGGTTATAAACAAGAATGCAGATCATTCTCATTAAAATCAATCAAGTTGTCTTTTGACATGGTGAAAAAATGTGTTATTGGTGACTGCAGTAGTATATGTTTGTAATTCAGAAGGAAAACGAATTCCAGTTCATGCTTGATAACACCAGTATGTCCATGGTTGCCAAATCTCACGTTCAAATGTCTCTTGATACACCTGCAAATCTAGCTAAGAAGTTTTTAAACTCGGAAGGAATTTTGCTAAAAGTAGTAGCTAATTTTTTTTTTTTTTAAAAAGTGTATACCATATTCCATAACATGTTTTGTTATTCATCATTTTTGAAACTGAATCTTCATAAAAATATAAATATTGTTCCAATTTTTCTGCATACCACAGGTTGGTGACTGTGGTCCTAAAGGACAGTTTCTACCTCTCTGACTAATACAAGTTTTCTGGCTCAGCAGTGTTTTTTACATGTGTTTAACATAGTCTTTCATAGGTACTGAACCCCTAAACTTACATTCATTCTGCATTTCAGAGTATTTGCAGACATTGTTTTATATTCCCTGTAGTTTTCATCCTATTCATTCATGATTTTGCAATTTTTCAAAAGCATGAGTATATGATAATTAACAGCATAGATGTTCTTGTATGTTCTGTGGAAAGCTGTTCTCTTTCAGAGGTGGTCCCTGAGGGAGAGTTTTCTGCGTACATGCGAAATTAATGTAAATTATTAAAAATTTGTATAAATTGTATTTTCAAATATTTATAATAGTTATTATTATCCCTTTCATTTTTCTTTTAATAATTCAGAATGCTATAAAATAATTACCTGTGATATATCACAGGTAGTAAATTTATTTATAGTACTCATGCCTGGACACTCATTAGTGCTATAGTTGAAGCTGCAGCTAAAGAACAATTCCGTGTTCATATGACTAAGCTATTCAAGAAGCTAGGAATGACGAACACATATATTGATGATAATGATGTTTTAATCTATCACAGATCAAGGTACTTCCAAGCATTCAGTGTATTTCTAATTTGTATATTGCATTATTAAGCCATATTTTTTTATTATGCTGAGTAATTTTGTAAAGTTTGCTCATTTTTACTTATACAAGGCAGTTATGGTTAATCCGTCAAGGTTAATAATTGTTTTATGTATGTCTAAGTAGATGCAGATGATTATATATCTTCAAACAGACTTGTAAATGTGGAGTATGATAATGTAGTTAATTGTTTGGCATTATTTTTAGGAAAGGTTACATTTACTTCCTTCCGATCTCTTTTATTTTGTCTGTTTATATTTACATTTTCTCCATCGCACCTTTCAAGAAATAGTAAACCTTTTCATTATTTGCTTTCTCTTTTCAAACTCATCCTAGTTATAATAACATCTTCAATACTGATAGTAACTAATGTCTCTAGAAAGAAAAGTTAAAAAGATAAAATTACAATGTGCTATATTTTTAAGGTAAAATTTTTCTATGCACATTTTTTCAAACAATTTTGAGTGATTTTTAAGTCATATCTTCTAAGGGCATTGAAGATAAGGAGCCCTTTTCAGTTAACTCTTAGCAAACTCTTAATTGTGTATGCTATTTGTTAATGAAGATACAAAATTTATTTTTTGCTAATTGTGTAAGTTCTGTCTCTGAATGATTAACAAAGTCTTATAACAAATTAAACTAGAAACTGTTTAACTCTATTTTTTGTGAGTCATCAGGTATTCTTAGTGGTTTTTCATATGCTGTTTTCTGTGGGCCATCCAGTATCAATACCATTTTAATTCTGCCTTTCTTCCAAAAAAATTAATACATTAGACTTTCATAAATCATTCATGCATAATTTTTAAAGCCTCTTAATAGCAGTACCTGTGATTAGCAATATTATGGGAGTGAGAATTGAACTGAAAAGTTTATTTTTGAATTTTTATTGTGTATTAAACTTTTGTGTTATTTTTATCTTAATAATGACTAATATCTGCACGAAACTAAGCGAGTTGTTTTTGCTAAGGTAGGTTAGCTCATTTTTTAAGTTCTTTGGATCCACAAATGAGAATATGGTACCCGCCGCTTATTAAAATCAGTTTAGTTCCAAATATATTTGAGTTTATTAACTCCTTCGCGCCGGGTAGCGCAAACGCGCGCTTATCGCAGAGGCCGGCAGTGTCTTACGCGAGCGTCTGTCCAGGGCCGGGGGCTTTTTTGCTATTAAGCCTAAATCCATGAAATTTCCGAAGTATCAACGCATTGTTTAATAATGCTCTATAGAGTATTTAAATGGCTTATGCTTTATAGATATTTTTATATATACTTTAATTACCTTATTTCTTGTTTAAATGCATATTTTACACATTTTATTTTCATTACTCACCATTTTATGACTTTTAACATTATACTTCTGAAAACTAAATATATTACTTAAAATTCTCTTTTCATATGAAAAATTTGAAAACAGGGATCTACACACAGTCCTACGTTACATTCCTTGCACTCGTAAATAACTCATTTACCGTTTTGGAGGATTTTTCTGGGAATGTGAACAAACGAAGCATCGTCGTCTCATTTTCTTATCAGTCTCTTCTGAACAAAGTTTTGGAAAAATGTCTTTCAGTTAATTTGAGCGGATTTAATGATTCTGCTGATCTCGGTGTGATTGCAACGGTACAAACTGAAAGAATTCACGTCTAACAAGATCTAATTATTTTCTAAAACAGAGAGAATTCACGTCTAACAAATTTTCTATTAAAAAATATTTATTCGGTCTGTTTCTATTAAAAACAGAAAGAATTCACGTCTAACAAGATCTAATTTAAACCGAAATACCCAACGCTTCAGCGAAAATAAAACTTCTCTACTTACAATAAACAACTACCACGTGCAAATTTACGTAGAGACGTCATAAATCATGCCATTCAGAAACATTTATTTCCCCTTTTGTTTATATAATCAAAAACACGTGTATGTGAGTCATGCTTCTCTCATTTTGAGTAGAAGGTCTAATGTACATGTATCTGAAACCATATGGATATACAGTGCCATCTTGTGGCAGAAATTATAGTTTTTAAAATGTTTTAGGACCCTGGCACAAATACGTGACAGTCGAGGCTGAACAGGAAAACGCTCTGGCACGTAGACGTGACAGTCGGCACGAAGGGGTTAAGTGACTGAATTTGATAAATAGCGATTTATGCATTGAAAACCATGATATCACTTTTAAACTTTTCAAGTAAAACAATGACTAACAATTCATTCATTAATTAATCCTAAAATAATAATTGAATCAATACTAAAATTAAATTATTTATGCAATTTTTAAATTCATTTAAAATTTTTTTATAAATATATTTTTATAATTGCTAGTTAATTCATGATGAAATTTTATCTTTTATAAACTACCATTCTATCTGTACTTGTTTCATATTGTACATTTTTTCAATTGTATTTTCAGTTTTGTAAAACTCCTGATAGCTTTTTGGATCAGAATCTTTCAGTTCAAGAATTCTTTGAATTTGCAGTGCTTTTCTGGATTCGATTGATGATTGCATGTCATCGGCTTTTCCTGTATCATTTTTACTTTTAGTTTCTGTAGCTGTTCTTCCATAATTCTCCATACAATTCAGATTTTATACATATTGTGTCAATGTTGTTGTGAATCAAAAAATAAACTCTCATAACTTCCCTGTCTATCTGAAAAATTAGGTATTTTTGTGATTCCTTTGAGGCTTGTACATAACAGCCATAGTTTTTAACATTTTGTATTGACTATAAAATGCATGGAGATGACACAGAGATATCAACTTACTTATCACCCTCAAAGTGCTTGTATGCTCAAAAAATTTAGTTCTGTTTATCGTTTGCTGAACATCTTTAATAACATTTGAAACCTTTTATAGTACCTTAAAATTAATGTTATATGTTAGAAGTTTTATTTGCAGAAAGAGATACTAATGCTTTTCAAGATATCAGAAGTGTGTGTGCTGCACGGTTATCTAATTATTAGTAAAACATTTTTTTTTCTTTTTTCAATTCACTGTCCTATTTTAAAAGCAAATTAGTAAAAAAAAAGGTGTCTAGAAAGTCCCTGAAGAACTTCAACAGCTTGTTGTTTTGAAATGGAGCAAGTTATAACTTTATTGCTGGTCACACTTTCATAAGCAAGGTTCACAAGCTTTTGTGACAAATGACATATTGACTGTCCTTCAATTGTAGGGAAATTTAATTAATCAACATATCAAGGTAAACTCTGGATGTTATTGTTTGTTCAGTTTAAGAAAAAGAGTCATGAAATCTTATCGTGCACTATACGAAACCAAACATCCACTTTCAGGCTGTCTTGCTTCAAATTTCTTGCCGAGATGAGAATTTTCAGATCTCCAGATACTTACTTTATATGTATATTGTTAAAATACTGAAAGAAAAACTTTGATATGTGTGTAATAACATCAGAAAAATTTACAGCATTTCTTCTCTCTGGGTGTTCAGGGTCTTTTGAGGACAACCTATACTGTATGTCATCCATTAGTTCTTCCTGCTATGGCAAGTTAGAAGTTAATTCTTGGCTCTTTTGAAGCATTGATGTTTTTTTGCTTTTGTCAGTAACCAATGTTGTCTTAATTGTTGGCTCCAAATTACACATTAATAACACAATACAGTTTCACCTTTGTGTGTCTTCACTCAACAGCTCAAGTAAAACATCTTTTATCCAATAATCAGCTCCATGATCTATTTCTTTCTTCTCACCATGATTTGATGTTAGATTTCTCTTCTTCCGTTTTATATGAACCTTATGTCACTTGATAAAAAACTCTGACCTAGCATTTAGTGAAAAAATCTTTAGGAATATAAATAACTTTTAGCTTTATACTTTGAAACCATTCTAGAAAAGCAATTCGTGTATCTTATTATTGTTTTTTTTTTTTTTTTTTTTTTTTTTTTTTTTTTTTTGAGACATTTGCATTTTTATTATTCCTTCATCAATTATACTTATTAAGTAAATTGGTGTTTGAGAAGTTTCCAATTTAAATGTAGCTTTTTTTTTTTTTTTTTTGGTAGGGGGAAAGGCTGAACCTACCAAAAGCATTTAGATCTTTAAAGTACTTAATCATTTCTTTCATTCCGTATTCCGTAAGTTAAATATTTTTGATTAGGCATTTTTGATACATTATGAATTAAGTAGACAACAAATCTTACTCCCAGTGATTTGTGCAATTTCAAAACTCATGTTTCAAATTAGCAGAAACTGCGTTTTGTCTATCAAGTCAATTTGCTACTTTATGCTTGTGCCTTCTGTGCTCTTATTTCAGTCTACAATTACCATTTGCTTTCCATCCAAAGACTCTTTATGTATGGTGCTTAGAAGCATTTTATGAATTTTTTTGGAAGGGGGGGAACTCTTTGTGAGCATAATGTTTCTGTTCCAAAAGGAAGATTTTGAATATGGAAACTTTAAAAGATGAGCTCTTTCAACTGGTATTTGAAAAGGAACCTTCACTCATTTACATTTTCACTTGATATTGTTTTTGTTAACCTATATAAGCTATAAGGAAATAATACCCTTCTGAAATCCAGTGTGGATTAAGACTGAAAACAGTGTCTGAGATGTATAGGAAGTGGAGGGTCAAAAAATTTCAGTTAAACCCATTTTATTGAAACACTACATACCTGAATGATGAAGCCATGGTCCGCAGTATGTTAAATGGATAAACTATGAAAAGCTTTGATATCTAGAAGTAGGATATTCCGGCGCTGAAGAATCAGTTTTTTGTCAATCAGAATTTAATAAACAGTGATTTTTCTTATTAGTATATATTTATTTTGGTTCCTGGAAATTTGAACTTAATAAGAGGATGAGTTTATTAACTAGCCAGTTTAATAAGTGGCAGGTATTGTATATATATATATATTCTATTGAAAATTCTTTTATATGCATGTTCAATTATATAACTTGTATGACTTTTCAGCATTTAGAGGTGGATACGTAATTTCTTGCTCAAAATTAATCATTTATTTTAGATGGATTTTCTAAAAGGAACAAGCATGTACTCACACTTCCCAGTTCTGTTTGTTTTAAGCAAAAGCACAAAACCAGATATTCCCATTGAGTCAGTTCATTATATTTTACATTTGTTACAAAATTAAATGTTCTTATGGTACTAAAACCAAAATCTCCATAACATAGATAAGAGTATTTTCCTGTTCATTCCATTGTTATATTGTGTATATGTAGTTAATTCATTAATTGGTTAAATAAGCTAATGGTATTAAAGTCAGCAATTATATTTTATTCCTTTGTTGACATGTAGTGACCCACTAATTAAATGGCTAAAATAATTGAACATTAGTAATATTATTTTGAGCTTCATACCTTGCTATGAGAAAGGTTAAATTGTTTTCCTTTGCGCATAAGAAAAAGTGTTGTAATAGCTAGCCTATGAATGCATTCATCTTGCATCCTTTTGTAAATATTATGTAACTGCCTTGTATGTAATTTATGCATTTTGTATCATTTTTGCAGTATTTCATACTGGCCAGATTTAACATTCATGCCATGTATACTACATTGACATCCAAAAGTAAAGCATGTGATGGTAAAATCAACAAAAATGAAAAAGTAAAACTTAAAATTCCACATGAAGGTAGTAAATCCTTTTATGCATAAAAGAATGCAAGCATTATATATAAAGATAAAACAATATTTAGTTTTGTAAATTATAATGTCATATTTGGGTCATTCACTAGTTGATTTTTTAAAAGTTAAAAACAAACAAAATTTTCAATGATGAAGCATGTGACCATCCGGGCATTCACACAAACTTTACAGCGATTTCGCTTTCACACTGACATGATGAACCATCACAGATGCTACCAGTGGCTATTTTTCCATTAAGGCAATTTCAAACTGTTCAAGACTGGCTGGAGGAAATAAATGTACAGAAATAACATGCCCAGGGACATCCTAAAGATTTTCTGTGTGATTAAGGTTGGAGGAGTATGGTAGCCACTCCATACAAGAAGTATTCTCTCTCTCCAGGTATTTGTTAATGATACTACCTCAATGGATACTGTGTGATGAGCTTTATCATTCAAAAAGAGGAAATCGGAACCAATTGCCCAATTGCTGTACTGTGGAATTTCACAGTGGGTTGCAGGACCTCATCCTTATGCTGCCCAGCCATTATAGAACCATTCTTAAAGATGTGCAACTTTATACCATTGAAATTTCAATCCCTACCATGATACTGTCATCTTTGAATGTGTAATGTTCAGTGATATTCCGGGCCTTCCATGTGCCATGTTCTTTCCAGACACTTACATCTTTATCATCAAATTCCAGGATAAATCTGGGCTAGCCCATGAATAGGACATTGTGCCAACCTGAGATGGTCCAATTTAGATGTTGACACCACTTTTAATGTTCCTTTGGATTTAATGGCCAGTGGAACATTAATACTTGGTATTAGGGCATACAGTCCCTTCACGTTAAACCTTCAGCACACAGTACTGGCAGATATTTGCATACTATCATTTACATCCACAGTGATTTTCAGCCACTTAAATTCAAATAAATATTTGAATTACTACTTTGCATTGCGTGCTTAACTTTTGGAAGCCAGTGCATATATATAGTAGGCCATCTATCTCTTACAGTATTCAGCATGTTTTTTAATCATCTCTTTATGAAAAAAATTATACTGAAAAACATTTTATTTCTGTATGTTCTAGCATATTTTATGCAATTCTTTTTCATTTTCTCTTTGACTGTTTTAGGATTAGTTTCAGCTGCAATATATAAATGTTTTATATCCACTTAAAATACATATTCACATTGCTGTTGCACTTATATCCATATTGCTGTTCTATCGTTAAAAATTTTCAAAGAAATTACCTAGTTATAAGAAATCTTTTTAATCTTCAAATATTACTGAATGAGTAGTTAGCAGTTTTTATATTCAGTAATACAGTTTTATGGCTTCAGGATTTTGTAGCACTATTTTGTAGTTTTGAACTTACATAAGTATTCATTGATTCATCTGGAAAGTAATCATAATAAATATATCAAAGTGCTAGAAAAAGTGTTGCAGCTGTCTAATATTAAAGAGGTCCCTCATGGAAATGCAGAACTGCTGAAACCAGTGCATGAACTCTGTAAGAATGCAGGTGTATTCTATATGAAGTAAATACTATATTTCCAATAAAGCAGCCCATAATTTTGTTATATTGAGGTGTAACATTTCTGTCTTCCACAGTACATTGGATGATATCCCAGATATGCTTTAATAATATCGAAATCTGGTGATTGAAGTGGCTGGTTTCAAACTCAGATGAGCATTCCTTAAACTAAAATTTAATGTCTCAAAACATGTATGATTGTGCATTATCCCATCTGAATGAACTAAGATAGATTCATCAGACTAAGATCAGAAAGACTCCTACGGTCTCCTATTGATATGCGAGATCTGTGACGTCATGAAATTTTGTCTATGTGCAGATCATTTCGTTTGCTGGAAATAGTTGGGAGTGTGGGGAAACAAGGCCACTTGTTTCTACCTGTCCAATGTGTGAATTACTCAACTCAGGCAAGCTGCATACCTCTCTGTCACACTTCAATTAGAGATGTTCTAATGGATTGTTAGTTCCTAAAGACATTATAATGAAGGGAATGTTTACGCCAGTCACTGTGGTCATGTTTGTTAGGGCTCCCACATTCAGTTCTGATATTATTTCAGACAGTGTTGTACATTTGGCATGTGACATTATTGTCAGTGCCTGCTGGTGATGTTCATCCAGCACTTTTATGGTAGTACTTTTATTACAAGTTCTGCTGCAATTTTCAGTATTAGGTTTACTTATTGTTAAAATGAACTCAGCATGAGTAATATAATTTTCTGTTAATACAGTTATAAAACACAGTTTGCTCATTTAAAACTTCTTGTGAAGTTATAGTTTCTCTCAAATATATGAAGTCCATAGCAGTGTGCTGTAGCTAAGTTTAAGAACTAGTCTCAGCATTTCTTTTGTGTCCATAGTAAGTCATGCATAGTACTTAAATGGGCAAAACAGTTTTTCTTTCATTTAGTTTATGACTAGCCATATTTCATTTACAAACTTTAAAAAATACTTCCATTTAATATTGTATAAATCATTTTAAATACCCAACTGTGGCCAAATGGATAAGACCACTGAAACTGATAATTTAACATAGGTTCAGGATCCTGACAAAGGGGCTTTTTATATGGATGTTTTAATGGTGTTATGTGTAACATGAATACAATCCAGTTTCCATTAAAAAGTTGTCTCTGAAGGCATCCCCTATAGGCAGATAGTCGTAGTGTGCTTTTCCACAGTACAATAAATCCAAATCATTCCGAGTTATGCTCTCAGTGTGACTTGGAATAGCAAAGAACTAGATTCTTTAGCTTCTTTAGCATTTAGTTCTTTGCTGTGTCCTTGATTCAGACATAGCAAAGAACTATGTGCTAAGGAATCTGGTAATTAGAAAGAGGCATTAGCACGACATAAATGAATTTGCAGCACTATGGGTATCACAGTTTTACTAACGTTACACCAAATCCTGTTCTTAATAGTAGGCTTCAGTAGCATTTACCCTGTAGATATTCATTTCTAGATGGTTTATTTGGTTATGGTAAAGCACTCGAGTGCTATCTGCCTAAGAGGAGTGATGCCTTCGTAGAGGATTTTCTAAGGGAAACTCATGCATATGCACATTACACATGCGGAGAAACCACAAAAACACCCATGCAACCAGCTCATTCACAGGATTTGAACTTTGGACAAATCAACCAGTGTTCAGCGACTTTACCGCTTAGCCACCTGTGGGCCCTTTCATTTCTATAAGTCTCTGCCTATTTTTACAGCTGTCTGCTTGCTTGGTATTTTGCTTTACAAATTTACACTTTAGCACTTCATTAAGGTATAATTTAAGAAATATTTATATATATAGCTTAAGGAAACTAATTTTTTCTGTGTGTAATTTAAGGAATATTAAATGGTGTGCAACACAAAATGATTATATTTAGTATATTTTTAAATTGCTAATTTTAGTTACAGAGTGGTGCATATTATATGTACCAACTTTTAGTAACAATATAAAGATGGTGAGTGCTTTTCTAGTAACTTTTATGTGTTTGTAAAATAATGTTATATAAATAAGCATTTAAAGCTATATACAGCACAGACATCAGTGAATGAAATAATGTTGTGTCAAGGTCCTTCTCCTGGAAGATATTACTGGAAGCCATTCAAGAAGATAATATATCTCATTCTTCCCAAATCAAAGTATGAAAGTGGAAAATCAGATTTTGAAGATGTCTTTCAGAGTGCAACCATACTTATGCTTCACATTGCACTGCTCTGTTGGAACAGAATTGTAACCATGAGCTGTCTTGCCCAGAATTTTGGCAATCTTCATTTTTCTGTAGCAAGACTCGCTAAGTATTTGTGACAGAGAATGACGACTTGATGATTGTTGCCATAGTCTGCAACTCTGCTGGCCTAACTCCTAGTTCTTAATGATGTTAGCAGAGCCAGCATCTGAGCTAGCACTCTGTGGCAAAGTTTTGAAAGGCAGCATTTTTAGAATTAATCGAGCTACATGGCTACAGAATTTAGTAGCTTTCGAGATTACACCACGCAGCAGAAATACATAACACTATCATATTAATAAGTATACCATGCATGTGCTTTCTGGTAGGTTGTCAACTTATACTGGTATTTTGCCCCATTCTGTATTTATTAATGTACGTGCATTTAAATTTTTACAAGTGGTATGTAATTTTGAAAATCTTTTCTTTTTCATTTCTAGGAATTATATAAAAGCAAAGAATGGATATTTGATAAATGCACCATATGTAAACAATTCCTATAAACTGGCAGGAGGTGGTTTTTTGTCAACTGTTGGAGATTTGCTTCACTTTGGCAATGCAATGCTGTATAGTTTGCAGTTCAAAATGACCACCCAGAAAATGAGTGATGGTAATTTCACAGAGACTTCTACTTGTAATCAGAGTGCAAGTGATAAAAATATTGACTGCCCTAATGACAGAATGTCTTGTAAGAAGCAAATTCTTCCAGGATATTTAAATTCAAAAACTGTTGAAGCGATGTGGTCTCCTATTGCTGATTATAAGGAATCAAAATATGGAATGGGATGGGCAATATTTCCGGAAAGCCAAGATTGCCAGTACTGTGAAGAAAACAAATACTGTGTATATCACTCAGGTGGAGCCATAGGTGCTAGTAGTATACTTTTAATTTTACCAAAAGAGTGCCACAATGAAGAACATATAGATATTGAATTTTCAGGTGTTCCTAAAGGAATAGTTGTCTCGATTCTTACCAATCTTCAATCCATAAACTTATATAAAACAGCTTTGACAATAGCAAACATATTTGACCATAAACGGTTAACAATTCATAATAATCAATAAACTTATGCTTTTTTTACATTACTTCCTTATAATCCTTTATTAATCCTGTAATATGATTTACTTTCTGATTGAAATTTGAATGTTCTGTATTATGCACATTTCTTTGCTTGATTAGGGAATATTTTAAGTATACTATTTTATTATTCAATTATATTTTTTGAATTTTTATTTCATTCTAATAGTGTGAATGAGTACAGGTTATAGGTATGAAATTGTTTTCAAACATATGTGTATACTTAAATCATAAAATGGTGTTTAAATAATAAAAAAAAAAAATTGAAATACTGATTGTATTGAATTTGGTCGAATAAAAATGTGAAATTTTATAGAGTAATAATTATTCTGTAACAATGGTTTATACTGAAATTTGCCATGGAAATAAGAATATAAAGTAACTGTTTGTTTTTAATTGTAGAAACATGATATTTTTTTATAACTTACTAAAATGTTTAGAGCAATTATTTTGATGTGTTGATTTAAAATCAGGAATGTAATACAGCAGGGTTGGCCAAACTTCATGTCAGTAAGAGCCGCACGTTTGAATTCAGGATTGTTCGAAAGCCACATCTAGATTTTCTAAAAGCCACAAGTTCATATTTACATCATTATAGAAGTAGTGGAGGAGGTTTTAAATAGAAAGAAATCCTCGATAATTTTGTAAAAAGAGTCTAAACTAATTAATTGCTTTTTTTGGATACTGAATAGTTTTAGTTTACATATTTCATACATATATTTTATATGTACGAGCCGCACAAATTGCCTGCTAGAGCCATATCATGCTCGCAAGCCGCACTTTGGCCACCCCTGTAACACAGTATGAAATCTGGACCACCACCGTTTTTTTTTTTTTTTTTTAAATCTTTGATTACAAAGCATAGGAAGGAAAATATAATGCACAAGAAAAAAGAGGTGTGTCACCAAATGAACGATTTATCTCCTGCCTAATTGAGATTTCTGTATATCGCTTTAAAATATCATTTAGCAACAAAATCACACCCAGGGCCAATTAGCCACGAGCACACATTCAGCCATCGAGTTGTGAGACGTTAGCAATTTTCTATCTGAACTAAACAATAAGTGAAGCTCCAAGATATATTTGGAGTGGGAGGTTACTCATGCTGATTTTTCTTTTGTTGGCATAGCACCAGGGGAGGGAGAAACAATCAGATTTTGAAGAACAAATTGTGCTTTTCCTTAGCTGTCGCATTTGATCCATCTGATTTTGTCCAGCCTCATGGCTATCTTAACAAAATGAGCATTTCATTTTCCTTTATGTTGAAAAGAGTTTTCAACATAACATTCTATAGCTGAAGCAGGATCTGCAAAGCAGAAGCAAGTTTCGATCTCAAGCAAAAAGTGAAATTGCTGTAAAAATGGATAAAAGCATATCGGTCTCAAAACTATGTGAGAACATTTAAAAACAGAAAAAAGAACTAATTCAATATTTTGTGGACTTTGACACTACTTGTAATGAATAACAGACAAACCATTCCTTATGTTAAAAGTGATAATTGGATGAGAGTGTCAGACTGAGATTTTGTCGTTGACTGGTCCAATGGCTCAAGCCAAAATATTTCATAAGGAAATGGACTTATAAATTTAATTCACATTTAATATTTCCGGAAAGCCAAGATTGCCAGTACTGTGAAGAAAACAAATACTGTGTATATCACTCAGGTGGAGCCATAGGTGCTAGTAGTATACTTTTAATTTTACCAAAAGAGTGCCACAATGAAGAACATATAGATATTGAATTTTCAGGTGTTCCTAAAGGATGGTTAACCAAATTTAGAAAGCACCCTAGTATTCGTGGCTGACAGTTAAAAATTTTAGGCTTCAGCTGATACTAAGGCATGTTAATAATTTACAGATGAATTCATCAAAATTGTTAAACAGTGAAAAGTTACCTCAGGAACAAATTTATAACACTGATGAAACTGGTCTGTTTTGACAATATGCAACCCAAAATACCTTGGCAACATCTACAGAACAGGCTCCAGCTGTTGTCAAAGATTTCAAAGAAAGACTAATAATTTTGGCATGTGCAAATACTGCAGGAATGCACAAATGTAAACTTTTCATAATCAGAAAAAATATGACCTTCCGGACATTTAAAGGAGTAAATATTTTTCCTATCATCTATTGCTCAAATAAGACAGCGTAGATGACACAAACATTTATGAATGATTGGTTTCAAAACCATCTTATATCCAAGGCAAGGGAGTATTTAAAATTGGTTCATTTACTGGGTAATGCAAAATTTGTCCTAATTATATGCAACTGTTTGACTCGTACATCACTTTAAATATTAATTAAAAAAGTCTCCATATTCTTTCCACCAAATTTTTCATCCAATTCTAGTTCATATTCAGGACAACATGATGGCCCAATGATACATGGATGATGTGCTGCGGCTTGTGATACTCCCTCACCTTCAGGGAGTGCTCATTGCCCTTTATCAGCAGAACAACGCCCGACCACACACTGCTCGCATCAGCCAACGTACTTTGCAAGGTGTACAGATGCTTCCCTAGTCACCAACGGAACACATTTGGGATGTGATTGGATGCCATTTGCAAACCCTGCCAATGCCACGTTCAGAAGAGTAACTGTGGCAATTGGTTGACAGGGAATGGACAACGATTCCTCAGGACACCATCCTTAGTCTCTTTGACCTTGTACCTAGACGTGTTGCTTCGTGTATTGCCGTCCAAGGTGGTCCTACAACCTACTGAGTCAACACTGTTTTCGCTCTGTATTATGCACATCATTTCGAAATATAAAGATCACTTGTTCGTTGCCGTCTCCCTCTCTGCCGAGTTTCATCACGTCCTGCCATTCCTTCTTGGTGTTGCATTTTCCATCTTGGGTAGTGTATTTACTTAGAGTGTATCACTTCCGTAGAGGCACTGCTGTTAGTAAAGATGCTTATGACTGGCAATCCCGTATTTTATCACAATAGGAATTGGAATTTTTTCCAAAACGTAAAAGTTCAAAGCATTCTTGAAATTTCGTACCAATGATATTTCTTAGCCAATGTTCAGCTTCTAAACTTTATTCTTCCCAGTACAATCCTACAAATTTTGAAACTGAATTTGTATTTAACTGTTTTTTCACATTTAATATACACGTAAGAGCTCTTTCTGAAGGATCCCATGTTTCTTAATGCAGATTTCCTCTTTGTGCACTTTTAAATTTTCATGCACAAAACAAAGCTGATTTGCTTTCTTTTCTTTCCACGATGCATTATTATATTACATCTTTTTGCTATCAGGAGTTTTGGTCGCAGCCTAGGTAGCTGTTTTCTATGAGCTTTACCTTCTTGTTCAAATCTAGCGTTTGCACATCACACATAGTGTTTTCAGATGCCCTACTATTAAGAACTACTCCTTTATTTCTTTTTGCTGTTTTGGTGATATTGCTTTTTATGTGTTTTCTTCTATAAAAAAGTTAACAAATGAGTTTGAAAAAAGCCATAATTTGACTTTGCAAGCAAGATATGCCAGGTCACCTAAAAACTCTGGTCCTCCTCAAAGCAAGGAAAAATACAAAGTAAAACTATACATAAGATTTAACGTGCCATCCCCCAAAATTGAAAATTTATTCATAATATTTAGAAAACATAGTAAAAATATCAAATACCTTCAATGAAAAAATTTTTCATCATTACAAATGAACCACAATGTAGCAATAATTCTATGAAAAACCAAAACCTTGCGAGAACCTCGCATCAAACACCAATTTGAAACAATGAAAATAATCGTTAAAATCTTAGGATTACCAGTTTGCTTTCTTCGGCGAAACTAAAAAACATAGTAGAAAGATATCTCCCAAATGGTGAATTTAATGCTACAAAGCAGGGAATTTTTATATATTTTATTACGAATTTTGTACACACACGTATAATATTAGTAAAATTTATATGTGAAATTGTTACATTTTTTCTGTATAATGTAACGTGACATCTAAGAGGCGGATGCTGTACCGGAAAAATAAGAATTTCAGGGGCAAGTCTAACATTGAGAAAACGGCTATCTCGCTAACTTGGTGAGATATCGCCAAGCTGGCAATGATTGTGGCGACTAAATTTTGTTGCCAAACTTTGTGAGTCATCGCCAAAATTGGTGAGCGTTTGGCAACATTTTGGTCTGGCCTCTGTATCGCCGTAATAGGTTGTCTTCCTCTTTTTAATTGTAAATCGTCTACAGACCAGACTCTGATAATTAATTAAAGTAATTCTTCGAATTGAAGGGAATCAGGGAAACAATTTAGTTGCAAAGCCATTTTGAGAGTAGCCAAAATGATGGATGATAAAAGTAGCCAAAATCTTGTTACTCTTATCATCCAAATAAACCTTTTGGTTCATGAATCTCAAAAATTATTCTTACAGCATAAGAAAGCCATCCTCATTTTTGCGAGATAAAGAAAGGAGACTGAAGTTCTACAAACAGCAAATAAGATTCATAAGAAAAGCTTTCATTCTGTGAAACAAACGACTTCAAATACTGCCGAGAAAAGAAAAGGTCCTCTTTATGGATGAAAGTAATTTTAGTGCCACGAGCGATTCTCAACGCCAGTTGATTTGGAGAGAGGTGAGGACAAGGTTTCATCCCATTAACATCACGGAAAGGTACCGTTACTGTTTTCCTGGCATTCTCGTCTGGGGAGCCATTATGCTGAACGGGCAGACTGACCTCCACATTTTTGACAGTGGTTCTGTAACCAGAGATCGCCATTGTGAGGAGATGATCCTTCCCCATGTGCATCTGTTCCAAGGTGTCAGTGGAGCAGACTTTGTTTTTATGGATGACAATGCACGGCCACACCGGACTCGTGATGTTCAGAAGCTACTGGAAAGTGAAGATATCGCTCAAATGGATTTGCCAGCATACTCCCAATTTAAATCCCATAGAACATGTGTGGGGGTGTTTTGGGGAGATGCCTTGCAGCACGATTACACCGGACTCGTGATGTTCAGAAGCTACTGGAAAGTGAAGATATCGCTCAAATGGATTGGCCAGCATACTCCTGATTTAAATCCCATAGAACATGTGTGGGGTGTTTTGGGAAGATGCCTTGCTGCATGATTACATCCTCCGGGGAATACCCAAGAAGTGAAACAGATGCTGATTGAGAAATGGGCTATCTTACGTCCAGATCTGTTGGACAATCTGGTGTTGAGTATGGAGAGACTGTGCGAAGCAACCATTGCAGTAAGGGGAGGGCATATCCCATACTAAAGAATACCTGCTTGTTGTTCTTCCTCTTAACAGACAATCATGAGTAACAATACTATGAGTTCAATAAAGCATTTTTGTGTTTGATT